TCCAGGAGAAACCTGCAGTTACCACCCCAAACGCCGAGGAGAGGGGTAGACCCTCACGAGCCCTGCACTGTCACAGTCCCGCTTCATGGGACTAACCGGAACAAACTTCCGAACCCCCTCTTCAGACACTGCTTGCGTTTCCTTTCTCTGGCGCGTGTGACAGCCACGGCTGGGGGCTGAGGCGCGTACGTAGTGAGGGCACTTGCTTGGGATAACCGCGTACTCGATAGGGAAGAAGAGACTTTTCAGATAACTTCAAGGTTAATTTAAGACTTAGCCACAAAATCTAGACTTTGAATAATACATGAATTGCAACGATTCCACTGGGATACGGCGCCCGGGAAGTGATTTCCCCCCACCCCGGTCCTATCATCCTATTTTCATCTCCAGAACAGATGCTGTTTCACCCAGCAAAGAAACGTCTTGTCGCATGACGTGACACAGTCGCCTACAACAGCGCGATCTCTATATACACACCGCTGCACGTTTTGGTCTCTGGTAACAGACCTCGGAGATATGAAATCAAAACTCACAGTCTACACATCACAAACTCAGTGGCAGAAAAATCTCCTTTTCTTTTTTTCTTTGAAGGTGGCCAGCTCTTCTGGTAAGTGCACGGCCGTTTCCCCCTTGCAGAAATACGTCAGGCTGATGGCAGCTGACGGCTCCTCTCCTGTCATGGATAAAGGCTTCGTGCTTTGCCCATTTGTCAGTCCCGGGGCGACTCGGGTCATCGACAGAGTGCCAGCACAGCTCGCTGCCTTGGAGGGATGGAGACCAGGGTGCGAGCTCATCCCTTGTCCCCACAAAGGTAGGAAGGAAGGAAGGAAAAATCAAACGTATTCCATTCTTCTTGAGGAGAAGCAGCAATGATCCTCACGCGCCAATGACATCAGTGACGACAGCATGGCAGCGGAGATTCCTGAAGGCCATCCCTTCGCATTTAAAGAGCAGAACAGTGAAGGCGTGAAGGAAATCAAGACGGCCTTGAGAAAAGCTTTATTTTGGACAGCAAAGGTTCATCTCGTAGACTTCTCAGAAACAGGCCTGCCAACCATCAGGCATGTAAGTAACCAAAACCAGTTACTTGTAAGAGGCAGCAGGATGAAACCAAGATATACAGAAGGCAACCAAGTCTCATGTGCCATGTTAACTCTTAAAATAGCGGGATAGAAGTAGGGTCTCCCCGCTGTGACAGCAGAACGATCGCCCCTCCGCAACAAGCATTGTGTGAGGGACATCCAGGCAGCGACCCCTCTTCAGACAGGGCCTGTTTGCTGAAGCTCCACAGGCTCGATAGTCAGGTGAAATCCTGTAATCCATCACCTCCATTCCACGCCACCGTTTCAAAAGACATTTATTAATTTCTAACAACTCGCTGACATATTCTGCTCTTCGTGCGTCAGGACTTTGGGTCTGTACCATCACTATGACACCAAAATTAGTCTTCTGGGAGTCTTAATCCCCACTAAAACCAACTGGAAGAGCTACAGTTTTTCAGGGCAGGGATGGCCCTAAGTAAGGTTTCTGTCATTTGAAGTTGCTGTTATCTCGATCGAATTCACCACCGCGCAAGCCGGCTTTGCGCTGGAGGAACAGATGCAGACCGTGGCGCTTTGCACTGAAGGGACACCTGCACACATGCATGTGGAGAAACTTTCAAGGACCAAAGCGGCTCTACAGGAAAGGACGGGCAAGCGACCAGATCATGGTACCGAACATACCTTTGCAAAACTGTTGCATTTATCGGAGACCTGAAAGCCACAAACACAGCCCCGGCCTCTCCAAGGGGCTGCGCCAGTGACGGAGGGACAGACGATCTCTCTCCCCCTACCACTTCGCTAACAAAACAGGGTGACAGAAATAACAGACGACCCTGCTGATTCTCAGTTTAAGGCATAGTCCTATCCCATCCCTCACCACTTTCAGGATCAATGCTCACTTACTCCAGGGAGTTTGTCGCCACTTGCTTGGTCTTCCAGGATTCAGCAGAGGTTTCCTCCCCTTGGCATGACGGCTGGAGATGAGCAGCTGCCAAGGAAGCGCTGGAGCCATGACCGCATGGGAACCAAGGGTAACGAGGACGGCACAGAGAAGATCAAATATCCATAGCTCTAGACGATGAAATATTTTAAAAGTGTTTGTTGATACGGCCCACCTTTATATCTTGCACAGTATAGATCCCATATAAATTGTATCCCTTCCCCAAATTCCTCCTAACTTCCTGGCCTGGCACCACCTCCAAACAATTTAGTTCCTTTCTACGAAAAAGCAGTGCAGCCCCGTCGCTGCGAACTTCCCGTGTTTTACACACCAAACTCATTACCCTGCATTGCTCCGATACAGTGTTATCTGAATGTATACATTGAAGTCCCTGACCCGGCTGGATCCCGTGTAGCTAGCGTAGTCTATCGCAGGAATACGTATCTGAGCACCATTGCCATATGCAGCGCAGGGAACCTTCCATATGGTTTCTGAAAAGTGGTTACAGCACACGTGCACCAGGCACTTCTCAAAGTAAAACAGATCTGTTCATTTTTATTTTCAAAATACCAAAGCAGTAAAATCATGTAATTGAGTAATCACTTGCCAAATTTCCTTTTTTAATCTAATCTATTTTGAGTTACATCAGAGCCAAAATGCAAATTAAACTGGTAAGGTTCCAAGATTTTTTTTTCCCCTTTTAGAAAACACAATTTAAGGTACTCCTAAGTAAGGAAATTTTAAAAACCATTTGTTTTGTATGCTGTAAACTTTGGAAAACAAGTTTCAGCCTGAAGTAAATTTTCATAGGTAATAGGTTAAATAGAAGTCTTATGTAAATTTTGATCTCTTCTTAACAACGCCAATGTTCATTTTATAAAATTTGATTTGAAAATAATGCCATTGTTTTAAAAGAGGCTCAAAGGGTCAGAAACTAGCCAAAAAAAGTATCCACTTTAACAAGGCACACGTACAGTCTTCCAGCTCTGACTACTGTATCAAAAAAGGAGAGATTCCTGAGATTGCTCATTGGCGGCCTCCACGAACCAATTTTTTGGAGGGGCTTGTTGTTGCAGCAGCATTAGAAGCCAAACTCACTCGCCAGCCTGGGCAAACTCGTCAGCGCTTGACCACGAGGCGAGACGGATCCGACCGCAGCCTCACGGAGTCATGCATCTCAGCAGATTAACGAACCGATAGATAAAAGCAGCCCCCCAGAGTACCCGCTGCTGGAAACCTTTGCTCTTTGGGTTGCAGTTGTTCGGATTAAGTCTCTCCCTACCCACAGGCAGACCTTGTGAAAAGCCGCGTGACCTCGTTGGTTGCCTTCCACCGCAGCGCTGCCGTCTGTTGAAAAAAAAAACAAAACTGGCACCCACTCAAGTCATGGCTGTTTTCACGGTGCTTGTCTTTTCGCCCCTCAAAACTCCTTCCTTAAACCGGGGGCTGCTCGTGACGCCTCCCGGCCCCTTTTGTAAGGCTGCAAAGGCACAACTGACCCTGTTAATTTTAAAATGCTTTAAAGCGGCCGGTTTTCCTTTCGCTGGGAACCCCCCCCCCCCCCCCCAGCCCCTTGCTAAAAGA